TGGGCTACAATCTCTGTCCTTTTTATTTTTTATTTTGAGATAAGGTCTCACTAAGCTGCTGAAGCTGGACTTAAGTTATGATCTTCTAAGGAGTTTGAAAATGAGTCATCAGGTGACTTGGCTATGGATAATGACTTGGATCATATAAGCCAAAAAAGATAGCAAGATGTGACAGATAGGACAGAAATGTGACAGAGAAGTACAGAATGAAGACCTTGATTCAGATGAGGAAGAAAACAGTAATGTAAATTACTAGTAAAATTGCTACAAAATGATCATGTATACCTAAATGTGCCAGTCAGTGTTAAAATGAGGTCAGAAAATGTTATTAGGTTCTTACCATTGGTGAAACCTATTGGATGGAATGCTAACACTGCATTTCAGTGTTGGAAATTGTTTGTAATGGACGATATGCTACAAGATATTTTGAAATACACTAATAATGAAATACAAGAAAACATTCCATATACATCACTAGTCATATTCAAAAATATATCTATCATGACACCTCACTATCTAAATAAAAGCCTTCATATCAGAATTTTATGATTCTAATCATCAAAATCTAAAGGATTTATGGAGAAGTGACAGATGGGATGTCGAGATTTTTTAGAAGAATAATGACACTCAAGAGATTTGGTTTCCTTCGGAATTGCTTACTTTTTGACAATAAGACTCACCAAGAAAAAAAAAATCTGACGGTTTCACTTCTATTCATTCATTTGTTGAAAGCTTTGTTTTGAACACTCAAGCAAGTTATATACTGTCCAAATACATGACAATTGATGAACAACTTGTGTCATTTTGTGGTTGTTGAGGGTTTCCACAATATTTGCAAGGTAAATCTTCCATAAAAATATATGCTTAGGTAAATGTGAAGATATTTTACACCTTTAATTTAGAAGTTTATCCTGTAACTCAACTACCAGCTCTTTCTTCCTGCAGTAATAAACTGTATGACTTTGTGAACAGACTTGTTGCATAAAAGTAATCCAAATGTCACATTGAACAATTGGTTCACTAGTTATCCATTGATATTACATTTGCTGAAAGAACACCAGTTGATCAGCACAGGAACTATTTGTAAGAACAAAGTAAAAATTCCTGAAAAAATGTTGCATGTTCACAATAGAGAAATGTATAATACAATCTTTGAATTTCAGAAAAACATAACATTGGCCTACTGTATAGCAAAGAAAAACAAAGTAATATTGATAGTGTCAACATTATACCACAATGATAAGATGGATACTGAGGCCAGGTGTGGTGATGCACACCTGTAATCCCAGCACTCAGGAGGCTGAAGCAGCAGGATCCTGTAAGTTCTGTGCTATATAGTGAGTTCAAGGCTAGTCTGGACTGCATAGTGAGACCCTGTCTCAAACAAACTAACAAAAAAAGATCGATAGTGAATCATCAACACAAATGAAGCCAGAAATGGTCGTATTTTACAACAAAATAAAAGGTGGAGTAGATGTTGTTGATGAGTTGTGCAGCAACTATGATGTCACTTGAAACACAAAATGTTGGCCGATGGTTGTGTTTTACTAGATCCTAAACATGTTAGGTGTACGTAGTTTCATAGTTTACAAAGAAAATAGGAAGCAAAAAATATTATGGAGAAATGTCTTAAAGGATAGGGACTTGAATGGACAAATGATCAGTTACAACAGAGGAAGAACAGTATGTATTTCCCCAAAGAACTCAAAAGAATTCTGGAGCAGACCAGTGAACAGACAGGTGAAACATCACAAGGACCTCCTAAGAAAACAGGAAGACTGGCAAGATGTCAAGTGTGTCCTACCAAAGAAGGGAACAGGAGAACAAAACACATGTGCTACAGTGTAAGCGAGACTTGTATATGGAACATGCTTTTTCTCAGGTGTGAAAACTGCTTTAGGTGTGATAATTGAAGTAAAGATTATTTTTTGTGGTAGAGTTTTATTTGTATTTTCATTGTAGTTCATATGGGAATTTATTTCTGCTGTTATTTTTAGATATAGTAAGTAAACAGTTCTATAGGAAATGTTGTTTATTCTAAATATTCAATATATATTTGATATTTTATTTTATTGATATTTCACTTTCCTGATAGGCAGACCTTGTCTAATATAGGAAGCTCCTGACAAAAGAGGAAGATAAGAGAGGTGACAAATATGGCCTGCCAAATAGGAAAGGAAAGCTAAGCACATGTGCTGTCAGTGTAAGCAGACTTGTGTATGAACCATGCTGTTGTCATGTGTGAAGACTGCCTTAGGTGTGATAATTGAAGCAAATATTATTTCTGCAGTATAGTTTTGTTTTTTTCATTGTAGTTCACATAGGAATTTATTTCCCCTGTTACTTTTTAGATCTTGTAAGCAGGTAAACACTTGATGTTGCAACGGTTGATGCTTTTCTACACACTGATTACATATTAAAAATTTAGTATTTTACTTTATTGATATTTTATTTTCCTGTTAAGTACACATTGTTTAATATAATAAAACTCATAAAATTAAAATTAATAGTTCATTAATAGAAATACTTCTAAAAAATAAACATGGGCGTTACACCCCCAAAATGTGCCTTTTCCAAACATTTGCTGTGATGCCTGTGGGGCTATGATTCAAACTATAGCATCTCACCAGGCCTGCATCCAGTCAGGCCTTTTCTTGATGCTGTTCCATTTACTGGGTTTTTATTCTTTTCCCCTTAGTCCTGTGAATGTTGCTGAACTGAAGAATTTAATGTTTTCCTCCACATTTGTACTGCAAAGAGAAACCAACAGATTGGTTTGAGTAAATTGGTTGCAGTAGAGAATGTCTGTGCCTTACCTTCTGTAATGGTTGATGAAGACAGCATACACCATATAGTGGAATGAAAGTGGAGCCACATCTGTTAATATCAAAACCTCAAATTAATTACAAAAAAACCCACACCTTAGTTTTTGGTCACTTTTCCAGATTGGCTTTGAATTCAGTTCACTATTTCTTCAGTTCAACAGTCAGTGTACTGAGTGTCTACTTTGAACAGAGTGCAGCCTGGGTACTTGCTGAACACAGTCAGAGGACAACTGAGAAGCATGGCATCGTCCTCCTTGACAGTAGGCTGTGCCGTATTTGTTGGGTTTTACACCGTGGCATGGTGTAGACAGTGCCTAAGCTCTCCACTCACAACAAAACCCTAGTACCTGACCCTGTCTCTGATCTTTGTTAGCTGACTGAATTCTTAAGCAAGTTATTTAACATTTTTAGCTTCAGTTTTCTTTTTCCTTTGTTCTGTTTTTGAGACAGGATGTCGCTGTGTGCTTCAGCTTTCTTAGTTGTAACGTTAGAACCTTTCCATAAGGGATCACCTGGAGTATGGCACATGGTAGTTCAGTAGCATTAATTCCCTGTCCTTGTTTTTTTATTTCTTATTCAGCTTTACTTATCTGCCATTAAATACCAGTTAGGTCTCATCTTGAGGTGTGAAATGATTACTTTTTTTCCTCTTTTCTAAATATATATTTAATTTCCCTATAAAAAGTTTTTAAATGAAAAAAAGTGAAATGAGTACTTTTTAAAGAAAGCATCTTTGGGGCTGTTGTTCCTGTCTGAGCCCATTTTAGTATCAAGTGGATATTGAGGCATGGGAAGATGGAGGGGTAGAGCGAGCATCCGGCTTCTCCTAAATTTGCTTTCTGGGCTTTGTATTAATATCTCTATGTAGCTGTAAATAAACCAATGTGTTTCTTTGTGTGCCTGTGTTTGAGTTACTTAGAATTACAGTCTGGATTGGAAAAGTCTCTGTAGGTACTTTCTGGTCCTAGGGTTAACTTAAAGAAGTGGTCTTCCCAGCTCTGCCATTGTTTGTGGCTTCCTCAGGACCTTCTTTTGTCATCTGGAGGATGAGGGGTCTAGGCTCTCTGTTTGTCTTGCTTTTAAGTCTTAAAAGTTTACTATTTCCAGAAGTTGGGTTTTCTGTTGTTCATTAAATAATATGTATTCCTTGAAACATTTCATTGATGGTTCCTTCCCCCCAAAAAATGTTCATCAAAAGTTCCCCTGGAGACTTTTTTTTTCTTCTTCTTCCACCTCGACTCAAAGGGAAGGATTCTCCAGGAAAATAGTCGCAGGCAGCTTTGGAGGAAGCTTACACCAATCCAAGTAATTCTGCCTCCTCTCTCTCTGCGTGCATTTCTGTGTAGTAGTGTCTGGCCGGACATACCACCAGTCCCCTCTGTATCTGCAGCCTCTCCTTTGGTCCCCTTAGAGAGGAAAAAAGTGTCATTTGCCCACTGAATGTGGCCTCACAAGTCCCTACAAGGCAGACCAACCCCTCACAGTTTACACTTTCAGGGGCTAGCTCTCACCAGAGGACTTGTTGAAATGCAGCTTCCCATATCCCACATCCAGATTGTGATTTTAACAAAGCCCAGCCTTCTGAACTTGAAACAAGCAGCCTTGGTGGTTTGTTGTGCAGTGGACTTTAAAACACTCGCTTTGAGAAACTCTGGTAAAGTATACCACCTGGCTGTGTAAAAGATGGGCAGGCGAATTCGAATTTTATTTATGAACAGTTTTCCTTTGAAAATGGCAAGCCTTCTTCTTTCTTGTGCATAATAGGGATGAATTTATGATTTTTATAGAAACCAGGTGATTTTCTGCATGGTGGGCTTGTCTCTCAACTCAGGCAAAACCTAGTGTGTTTCATTTTAAGACCATTTGCCCGAAGCTATGAAGAGGATTGCAGCCTATGAAGTACAATGTTCAGTGCCCTTTCAGAATTTGAAAGTTAAGCATTTTAACCCTTTTATATTGGCTCCTGTGTTGTGGATTCACGTTTTGATCCTAAAAACACATTGAGTTGGCTTTTTAAATTTGCCAATATTTTGTGATGTATAATTAAAGATTAAAAATTATCTCTATCATTAGTCATGAAGATTTAGAAGAAATAACTTCCAGAAGATAAAAATAGTGTATTTTAATATCTTGATGATTGTACTAATCTTTTTCAATGTCATCGTTGCTACTCAGGGTGAAAAGTTTGGACCTTTTGCTGGAGAGAAGAGGATGCCTGAAGACTTGGATGAAAATATGGACTACAGGCTGATGTGGGAGGTGAGGTTGGGGCTGTTATTTTAAGTATTAAAAATATGTTCCTCTTTATACTCTTTAATACAAATTATAAGGCTATGTGAATTGATACTGATTCCAGCTGAGTATTTTAGTATCACCAAATCTTAAATTTGAGGTATAGCATTCTAAAAACATTAGACCACTAAAATATGTTACTAGAAAATTCTTTTCCAACTCTGAAATTTATAATTAATTCGTCATTGCAAAAAGTTTTGCGGGGCTGGGGATTTAGCTCAGTGGTTCTGGTGCCTGACTTGCAAGCACAAGGTCCCGAGTTCGATCCCCGCTACCAAAAAAAAAAAAAGTTTTGCGTTTATAGGATATTTGTATTTCAAAATCATGTGCTGGGTTTAGAACTAGATTTCTGAAAGTGAAATCATATTTTTCCTTTAATTTTTATCTCCTCATGTCAGTTTCAATTATATAGAAACAGTTGTGAGTTCTATATTGGAGCAAGCATCCCACATTAAACTATGTCTTGCCTTTAAAAAATGTATTTAAGGAAATAATGACACTGTGGGCAGTGCTGTATTTGCAGGCCAAGGTTTCTCTTATGTAGGGATCTGTATTGTGGATGTTAACAATACCAAATATCTATACAGCACTTAGATTAGTGTTTTCTTATAACTGAGTACTATAGCTTAGTCAAGTTGACCCATAAAATTATAGTGTATTTTCTGTAAGCAAAACTACATTTATAAGCATCACTGATATTACTGAAATAGCTGGGGATAAGGACTGAAGGCACCCAAGAAAGGATTTTCAAAGGTTTCCACAGGAAAAGTGATGGAAACAGAAGTTAATAATGTAGTCCTTACTGTAATTTAAGGGAGAAATGTTATTGATACTGCCTTAACTTAGTATATGGTTGTAATTGTTTATTTTTATGAACCTAACAATATTTTAATGGCTTTTATATAAGGTCTTAATTTTCTTAGCAGCTAATTCTTTTGCCATGAAGGTTTTCAGAAATCAAGCATTTATGTAACAAAAATAACCCAGATCACTAAAAAGTAATAAAAACAGCGATATTTAATAGGTTGTTAATAGCTTTTGATATTTTTGTTGTTATCATCTGAAGTTTTTACTGTGATGGTCAGGTTAATGTTTTGCACAGCTGGTTAGGAGGCATTGTTAAACAGATAATGTTTATAATTTTTATTTTGAAAGAACTTGTAGATAGGCAATTTAAGGCTGCTTTTTATGTTGATATGTGGTGGGAACTCAGCAGCATATCATGTAGCTTTGCATTATCTGGTCCTGTGGTTCTTTGATGTCTTTACTATTTTTTATACACTATATCCCCAGTCCTCTCACTCTGCCACCCAAAGAGCTACTGATATTTTACACTTATGCTCAGCTAATGTTAAATTCATGTAATGACTACAATCTCTATTTTACTTCACTTTGTACTTCATGTTAGAGCTTTAAATAAGTAATATTTGTACTTGTCATACAATTCAGAACGTATAAAAGGGTAAATGTTTCTATCCCCTTTATGCCTGCTCCTTTCTCCTATGACCTTGCTTCATTTAACGTCTTAGCGCCTGTACATTACCCTTCCCTTCTCTGCTTCTATAGTTCATCTTCCTCTTATTCTTCTGCATTTTTGGTTTGTCAACCATTCTCTACTCTGTGCAGTGGTGCTGCTGGCAGGGGAAGAAAAAGACACTTTCTCAGTGTTTGTCTCCTTGGAGGGGACTATATTTGAAATATAGTCAACAGCTTTTGGAGTGCAGAGATTTTCTACCTGGTAGTTTTAATCTTGTCCATTATTATGTTAAATGAGTGTATCAGTCAGCTTTGTGTTGCTGTGACAAATACCAGAGAAAAAGAAATCTTTCATCCTGTAAATTGTTTTTCTCAGGTAAAGCAGAACATCATGGCAGAAGGGTGTGGTGGGGCAAAGCTGGTCACCTCATGGCAGTTGGGAAGCAGGAGAAACAGAGCAGAGAGCCAGAGAGCTGTGCTAGTGGACTTCTTCCTTCTGCTTTTGAGCCATTGAGAGCCCCCCCCCCCCCATGAGTGGCTGGTGTTGCCCCAGGGCACATCTCTCCCCTTGGTTTGCAGTTCTATATTCCCTTTGTTTCTGGAAACCCCTCCCAAACACACCCAGAAGTGTACTTTACTAATTTCCTAGGTATTTCTCAAGGCAGTCAAGCTGACATCAAGATTAACCATCATAATGAGTGAGCTGCTTCTCAACCTTGACAACTACAACTATCCCTTTTTATTATTTTAGCTTTGGAGGTGCCAGGATTCAGAAGGAGCATAGAGAAGGGAGGATAACCATTCCTATTATTGGTTCCTCTCATGAACCCTTTGCATCTTCTCAAATGGCAGTAAAGAGCCTTCTCTCCTCTGGTGGATAAATTGAGATTGGTTATTTAAGACATTTCTAATACGGCCTAGAGTCACATTGGTAACTGCCATGCAGCTCACAAATGGGCAGTCCTTCTCAAACCCAGACTTTCCTGTGTTGTGGTTAGAGAACCTGAGCCAGGTACTGGTGAGAACAACTGGAAAATGATGTCCAGTGAGGGAGCACGTGGCCGACCGAGCTCTTTCTCAATTTATGCACACACTTTGCTTGTGCTGCTGTTGGTTCTGGTGGACAAGGCTAGGATTCCCTGAGTGGAAATTTCATACCAAAGTACTTGGAGAAACTAGACAGGGCTGAGCCTACTGTTAGGTGTTTGCACCTGGTAGCATGGGATAGTGCATAAAGAGGCCTCAGGAACAGTGGGAGCATTGACCTCGTTTGCTGCAAGTTCCTCCTCCCTCCTGAGACACAGCATGGGACTTTCTGATGCCCATTGTTTCAGAGAATTTGTTCTTAGTGTTGGATTCTTTTTCTGGATTGATCACAAGGATTTTAAGTTGGTGTCTGAAGAGAGTCATCTTTACTTTTCTGTCTTTTTCCCTCCCTCTCTCCTACTCATCCCCATTTTCTTTTCTTTTTCCTTCCCTTCCTTCCTTCCTTCCTTCCTTCCCTCTCTTTCTCTCTCTTCTTTTTTGATAGTACTGGGGAACATGAAAAGGGCCTCGGGCATGTAAAGCTACCATATTACCACTGACTATACCACCAGTCCTGTAATTTTTACTTTTATTTTAAAATAAAGTGAATTAGCAGAATTCTGGATTTCTCATGCCATAAGCCATTTGTAGAGCATGAAGTTGGAATCTGTGCTGGACTATGAATGCCTGCCATTGACAGTTCAGTGGAATGTGCCCAGTTGTCTGTGTTTGTTAGGTTGTGTCCTTCCCTTAATTAGAAGTCTTTTTTGCCAGGCGGTTTAGAGCTTGGGATGTATTTCCTTTCACCCTCTACTTCCTCAGACTACTCTTCAGACCAACATCCATTCATGCACTATTGCTAAAACTCTCAATACTTGTTATTAAATCTGTCCAAGCCATCTATTCTTTATAATATTTTCTTATGTTTTTCAAACCACATTTTCAATGCTTCCTCTTCACACAGGGGCATGTATGTTTAAGTTTTGGCCCCTGAAGAATACAGCATAGCCTGTACACTTTCCTTGACATGTCCTACAGTCAGTCATTATTTATGTGTTCTAAAGTGGGCACCGGTGAATCCAGTGTCTGTTTGAAGTTTTCAGACAATTCTGGTCTGTAGGCTATGGGTCTTCCCTTCCTTTTCCTTCACCTTGAGAGAGGTTTTGTGTAGAAACTGGCCTGGTAAGTTATTAAAAACTTGACGTTGTCCTGACTTTTTCAGTGGAGTCATTCACTCCTGAACTTTGCATTTACTCAGTTCCCCATGGTCTCAGCTGTGTGCCCCCCTTCCCCATCTTCTGTACATGTTGGTCCATGTCTCCTGGGCTTTGAACATTTCAGTGATGCAGCTGGGTGTTCAGTAATAGATCTGACACGTGGAGCCAGATGCTATGTCAGGGGTCAGTAAACTAGGTGATCTCTCTGTAGACAGCAGGTTCTTACCATGTGGCCAGTTAAGAACTCATCTGTGGGTTCCCAGAGAATGAAAATAAAAGCTGAAGATTCGAATGAAATATCCAAATTTTGGGTGGTATTTTTATAGGAAATAAATCTCTTTTACTTAGATACAGATGTGGTCTTGCTATTATATCATCTATAATTTATGCTAAAAGTATCTCACCATGAGGAAATTAGGAAAAAAGTGAAACAAATAGAGCTTAAACTTTGATTTTAAAAAGTGCTTCTGGTCTTGTAAGGGTTCCAGATATATCAGTGTGGGATACAAAGTACTGTGAGAATAGGCCTTTTCTTTAAAAAACCTGTCTGAGCCTGACAAGGACACTTACAGTGTTGTACATTTGTTTATTTTCCTAAATATATTCCCTGGAGAATCAGTGAGGAAAACTGGTTTTTAACTTTCTGGCCAGTAGAATTATCAGAGCAAGAAATCATTAATTTTGCTGAATAGCTGCGTATTATAAGATGCAGCATGTTAAGTTATTGTAGTTTTATTCATTTTTGTCAACAGAAAATACTTTTATTTTTTGGGTACATAACATGTTCTCAAAATAGAGCTATCAGAATATATGATTATGAGATTTTGCAGGTGTTTTTGTACAAATTGTCAATCTCCTACAGTTATAGTAAATTATTATTTCAAAATAATTGCACATACCAGGTGATCTGGGCCTCTTTCTGTAGATGATGGGCTTTAAAAATCTTTATATCAGTTAAAATGTACACAGATTATTTTTAAAAATATCATTCTTAACTCCTAGTCCCCACTTCACTTAAATGCTGATGATGGTCTCTAATTAATTTAATTTAATTTTTTAATTTTTAATTTTTATTTTTTTTGGTACCGGGGATCGAACTCAGGTTCTTGCACTTGCGAGGCAGGCGGCGAAACCACTGAGCTAAATCCCTGGCCTCTAAATCCCTGGTCTCTAATTAATAACCCCTTCCTCTCATTGATTGTAATCAGTGGAGAATAGAGAAGAACCAGACCAAAATGAAAATATCCA